TGGTTTCTACGGAAATATCTCCCGGGATGAAAAGGCAGAGAAGAGGCTCCTCTCTGCATTCACACACCTACACCGCTCTGCAGACCGCCAGGACCRCCAACTACAGCACACTCACACACAAAACCAGCCCCAACCTACCGAGCTGAAAAGGGCTGTTTGAAAAAAAGTAAATACCGTATGTGACAGAAAAACTTYGTGATTTTGTTTTCTCATGCCCCTTACTTCCAAACCAGCCGCACAGCCAAGCTCAGGCTGCTTGGCCCTTATAACTCTCTTGGCACCGAGTCAAAAGCTGATAAGCATTTGGGCGAGACAGCTCAACTGCTGTGCTGGAAGAAAAACAGCTGCCATGATTGCTGTTTGATTGAGAGCGCTCGCACACACTCACAAAAAACATACCAGGCTGCAAGGACGGGCCACAAATGCCTGAGGATTCAGCTTCAGAAGATCAACACACATTTCCTTAAAAAAAAAAAAAAAAAAAGAAAAAATTATATAGTTTCGCCTCCATACGCCCTCCCCTTTTTTAAAGAAAACGCGCTGCGTCGACTTGCTTTTCTTCTTCCCATCCCCCCTCCATAACCTCAAGCAAACTCAAGGAATTGTGCCAAAAGTCCCGTTGCTAGTTACCAAGTGCATTTTTTTAAACGTCCCTTTGATACTTCTTTCCCGCCTGCTTGCCATGGAATACGCAAGTAAGATAATATTTCCATTACTTACAAGAAGTAATTAAAACAGAACTTCTAGCTCAGCGTTCCTTTCCCTCTTTCTCTCTTAAGGGGCAAGAGGAGAGAAGCGAGGGGGAGAAGGATGTTTTTTTTCTCTTTGCCGAGTCCAACATTTGGCTTTTTCCATTTGTGGCAGATCACTGTAACGCTATTGTAAAACAACTTCCTGCCCCTTTTGGCTCACGTTCCAGAAGCTGCTAGGCTAAGTTCATAGCACAAACTTTTTTCCCCCTTGCCGAAGAAGAGAGACAAAAAAAAAAAAAATCCTGCAAATTATTTTCTCCCTTTTCTGGCTAATGGACTCACAAGGTGAATTTATTGCAGCTCTTTAAGAATGTTACACAAGAGACGTCGGTATCCCAGCTGGATAATTCATAAGCTGAAAAGGTGGGGTCATTACAAATATATGTCTGTGTGTGTCTGTGTGTGTCTGCATTTTAATTCTGTCATTTTGAATCGTAAGTCTCGGTACCATCAGGTGGATAATGAGCTAAGCTGCTTCATCTGCCGTACTAATTTGTGTATCTATCATAGCACAGATCATTGGCTCAGTACATACAGCCTCCTACTTCCCAATCGCTTTTGTGCTCTAAGGTCACCTGCATCTCTCTCGTCTCCCTGCTCTCCTCTAAATGCTCAGCCTCATGAAAATACCCGCTGCAAGCTCCCAAACCCTGCCTGCTAGAAACGGGAGACGTTGCAGCCTCTCTGCTGCGAGCCAAAAAGGAAAACTAAGGCCTCCACAAGTTGCTCTCTCACGGTCTGTCCCTCCCTCCCTCCCTCTCCCTCTGTTTCTCTCATAGCAACAGCATTTCTTGGTGCGCCTGCTTTGGCATACATCAGCATTTCCACCGTCCAAGTGTCCTTTTGCGTCACATCTCGCCATTTCACTCAGCCAATGAAATCTCCTTCTTGCAATAAAAATATATAGACTTTTTGCTGTTATTGGTATATTCAAAAATTTTTTTTTTCATGTGCTTTCCTAACAAAAAACGTTGTCGAGCATTTGATTTGCCCTGCACTGGGTGGGGGGGAAAGGGTGGAGAGGGGGAGGAGACTGTACAAGATTCAACCTTGAAGAGTCTTCTTTGTGGAAAATATGTTACCGAAAGAAAAAAAGGGATTACATAGTTACTTAAAGAAAGTCGCAGTTGCCCCTCTCAMTTGCTATTGATTTTGGTTACGCTACCACTGCTTTCCTGATGTACTTTTAAAGCATCTAGGCAGCTTCACCTGATTGGAAAAGTCAACAGCATGTGTGTCTAAGAGTCTGTAAAACACTCTTCAGGAAAAAGAATGCATTCATTGATATTTTATACCATCAAATATTGATCGTGAGGTGATATAATAAACCTCAACGCAAAAAGAAAACCCACAGATGTAAATTGCTATCCCAGCCAAGGAAGCTGCTCTCCAGCGCACTATCCTGAAAATGGAGCGGAGGGTTTGGAGGCAGAGTTCTCTCCGAGATGCATTTCCCTCTCCTGGAAGGGCAGAGTTTCAGGGAGTGGAGCTGGTGCCAAAGGCTCCGTTCGTGGCTCGGAGCTGCAGCCCTGGAGCCGCCTGGCACGGCCGGGAACGCGGCCACAGTGCCCAGCTCCCAACCAGGCCTGGCACCGAGGGCACCCAAAATCCCTGCCTGGCACCCAAAATCCCTGCCCCAGCCACCTCCAGAAGGCAGGGGGGCACATGGCAGACTCGTGGAACCTCTGGTACCCATTTCCACCCACCCTCAGATCTCCACAAAGTGCTCAGCCACTGCCATTCTCAGGAAAACACACATTTCTTCTATATGTTTCATAGTTTTCCCTCTTTTTTATTTTTTTTTTATTTTTTTTTCAGTGGTGTGAAACCATGAAATGTTTAAAATATTTATTTATTTTTAGGGAATTACAGTAAAAACATACTAGAGATTATCAGGACACAGTTGACAAGATATTTAAAYGGTAACTTTCCCACAAATATTTATTTTTGGTAAAATGACACCCAGTAATTCTGACCTCTTCTAATAACTTTGGTCTCTATTGCACATAGACTGTGGGTGCAGAGGATGTGTGTGCATAAATTCTGGGTGGTTAAAAAGTAAAAGCAAGCAAAATTTCTGAGTAACAGCCTTAGCAGCAGACAGCCATCATATCCAGCTAAAACTCTTATCGTTTTTGTTTAAAAATAATGGCATGACATTCCTGATAGTATTTATTTTAACAGAACATGCACAGATGAGAATGTTAACCCTGCACAGAAAAAAAGAGATTACATGTGAYAGTGCAGTCAACAACTTTTAATGCAAACATAGTATAAAAGACAGACCTGATTTTTAGGGAAGGATAGGACTTAAGTAGACAAAGAAGAACTCTGCTCAGTTCAGAGTGTTTGACTCATATTAAATCAGCTTTCTGAATGACCTCCCTCTTGTTTCTCAGATATGATTTTTAGCTCCTTATTTATTTTTRTAATTTCTCTGTAAAATATACATTTTCTTGTTCTTTACTCTCCATCCCCATCCATTCCTTTCCTACTTTTTATTAATGTGAAAATAGCTGAGGTTCATCCCTGTTTTTKCCTGCTCCTAATGGGGATAATTCTGGTGTCTTTGGAGGGTTAAAAGTGCCTCGCCTTTACACAATTACGGCTTGTATTCATCCACTCAAAGATACCCTCGCTCGAGGAGAGACATAAATGCATTCTGTTTGTCACCACAGTTGCGAAATAAGAACGAAAGTTGTCTGACTTGAGGTTACTGCAGTATTAAAAAAATAGGGATTCAGGAAAAAGGGAAACAATTACCTAAAGCCCAACTTGTAAGAAATTGCTTAACAGAAATGCAATTCCAAAAAGAGAGGCAGAAGAATTATTTTAAGATTCGTGGTTCCTGGATAAATTCAGATCATGCAA